CCTATTTTCACTTCCGACCTTAGTCATGACTGCGTTCTTTATCATTATCATAATCACCGACAGCTATCCCCACTATTTTCTCTATTTTGGTTATTCTCAAATACAGAATTATTGTCTGTAATGTTTCCATAATTGCGAGCTGAAAAGAAAAATCTATCTATATATACATATAAAACATACCGGAAGCAGTCTAGAAGTAGGACTTGGAGAGAGTATATTAGTCAGAAAGAGCCTTGAACACTCTTACGACTCGCCCAGGGCGGGAGTATTTATTCGATTTGGTTCGAACAAATGAGTATAAGATGACAGTCAAGTATGATGTCCTAATAAGTTACAATGCTTTTAAAATACTTTATCTAGTCCAGAGACTCGTACATCCACAGTTGCCGCTACACAACAAAGCGACCTTCACATCATAATTAAACCGAAAAATTATTAATTTAACATAATTTTTATTTATACTGTATGAATTAAACATTGTCTGTTTAATTAATGTATAAATAAAAAACATACGTGTTTTCAGTACGGAATGCCTATATACATTTTTCAGCATAAATAGCTGAAATTAGTTGGTTTTTAAATTAGTCGAGTAAAGGCCTTTTAGCTGGTAAGTGCACCTTTTAATATTTTTGCCCACTTTATTCCAACAGATACGCCCTGATTCCGGTCGTGGTGGCCCGAACGTTATGGCGCCCACTTCTCATGCACGAGGGTTTGAAACCTGGCCAGTCTTGTACCAGTGAGACTTCTTCCGAATAAAATTAAATTTCTATGATTATTTAGACACCTCTGGCATACGGTGAACCATTTATACCGTCACGGTATACCATGCTAGACTTATAATTTCGAAGTAGAAGTTTGACATTCCCAATTTTTTTTTCTTTTTTTAAAAAAAAAAAAACATTGCCCCGCACTAGTATTTTCTCCTGTGTCGTGGGTGCGTTTACAAACTTACAAATTCACATACACAACACACCCAGACCCGAAACAACAATTTTGTGGATCACACAAAGTGTTGTTCCGTGCGGGAATCGAACCCGCGACACGTTGCACAGCAGCCAGTTGCCCAGCCACTGCGCCAACGGTGCAGTAAATCTGCCTTGAGTAAACGCGGTGATTAAAACTCAAACCTTCTACGTGTGAGAAGACGCTTTTGCTCAGCAGTGGGCACTATAAGCTGATGATGTGATGTGATTTCAAAAAAGATAGATATTATTTTTATAACATTGGAAATTTTGAGAATTCACCAACTTGGTTGATAACGATCATACTTCATCCACGTGCTGTATCTGGATGCTGCTGTGCAAAGCATCGAACCAATTATTTGAGTGCGTGCGTTGTATATGCAAATACCAAACTGCCTACCTCGCATAGCGAAACTTTCTTTAATAGGATAGATCAAATGAGAAAATAGTTCACCCGATGGTCGGTGCCTTGCGCCAGTTAGGGATTGGAAGATTCTATTTCTGTCAGCTTTTCTGTGAGGCTTTAGGACAAGTTGTTGTCGACAATATTTCTAAACCGGTACTACCTTAAAACTTCTAAGAAAAGAGCTTACACCTTGTAGATAGGCCGAAAATGCACTTCTAATGATTCTTTGCGTATTTCGTGTACCCATAAGCAGCCTTATTTGTTTGCCATCCGGTAATCTTCTTGCAGTTCGATTGAGCAATCGGTTGCCGTGCAACGTGTCGCAAGTTATATTCGCGCACGTAAAAACTTTTTGTGAGATGTCACAAATATTTTTTTCGGGTCTACGTGTGGTGTGGTTGTGAAATAGTATATTTGTAAACGCAACAGAGAGAGATAAAATCCTAGAGTGGAGCAACGTGTCATCATCATCATCTTCCTGCCCTTGTCCCGTTTAATTTGGGGTCGGCGCAATATGTTTTTTTTCTTCCATTCTGTCCTGTCACTCGTCACGCTATCGCTAACTCCTCTGTCTTCCATATCACTTCTCACACAATCCATCCATATTTTCTTTGGAGTGGAGCAACGTGTATCATATAAAAAACACCCAGTATCTCCAAGTTGTCTTTTAAAAGATAAAAGTTGTTCCACACAAGCACTTTCTACTATAACAAGACTCGGAATAACAATTTGACATACAACTTGTTCTGAAAATCAGTTTTTCGAAACTAATTATAAATTCATGTATTTCCAGACATGTCTGTGTCGGATGCGTCGCTGAGCACCAAAGGGAAAGTTAAGTTCAAGTTATTCATTCGAAACTAACTTACTACTGAAGTATACGTCGGGTAAGTTCGACTTAACATTCTTGTTTATTTTTAAACTGTTCATAGCTATGGTCCTATAAACTGTTGGAACTTTGACAAGCTCCCTATTGGTTTTTAGTCAGTCAGTTAGTTCAGTCCGTGGCTTTTGACGATGCCGCTTTTGGGATTTTGCATTCTCTTTGTGCTATCAACCTAATTTTTTGGGGGAGAATCTCCAAATGGCGCTTAGCTTTTGGGGAAAAAGATTCTCGATAGACCTACTCCAGGGTAGTGCTTTTAACCTTAAGTCATTCTGTCTCCTGCGTAAGTTCGCTATAATCTGAAAATCACATAATTATTATCTTCTTCAGTTGTCTTTTTCCATCTTATATCTTCTGATTGATTTCCCTAATCTTATGATCAATCCATAGCACCATACCGTACCATTAGTATGTTTTTATGAAACAGTTTGGCAAACGAGAATTCGCATTACCTGATGGTAAGCAAAAGGCGCTACCCATCTACACTTGCAAAGCCTGAGGAGTCACGGGTGCGTTACCGTTCTTTTGAAGATGAAGATAAGGGTTTCTGAGATTTAAGGATTTTAATGAAATGATAATTATTAAATAAATATATGAACCTATTGAAATTACAGGTCTTCCCGTAGAGCGGTGATGATATTGATCGCGTATAAGCTCTGGAAGGCATGCAGATCAGAAGATGTACCTTTGTACTTGGAGTAAAACAATTTTTGTTGTTAAGGTGGGTTTCAAAACATTTAAAAATTTAACAAACATAATATCATCGCATATGCCGCTGCTTTGACGTGAAGCAGGAGCAGAAACAGTAAGAGTCCGAGAGAAGTCATCTGAAGATTTTCCTCTCACATCAAGGAAAAAAATTCGAATTAAAAGACGACTTAAAGAGTGAAGTATACTTATAATTGATAAGATATATTTTACACCAATTCAGTTGCAAAACCTGTCTGACAAAAAGTATTTCTTAGGAGGGGTAATTATCAAATTACTGCTCTATCAGGACAAAGTTTGCCTTCGCAACTGTTAAATATAACTTTGTGTCAACACAACAGTTTCCTATTACAATTAGTCCAATTGACATGTATGTATATGCTGTTAAGGATCATTTTTATCTTTCTTTTTTCATAGTATTTGCAAATATTTTAAATTACAGATCCATTACAAAGATCTTCAAGAAGTTCTGCAGTTACCTCACTGGTCAGTTCATCGTCAACTGACGACAGACGGTGCGAACCTTCGGGTGGGCTGATTATATGAGTGGCGGTATGAGACGGGTCTATTTAACCTGTGGTCTTCTTGCGTGTTTTTGGCTTATGGTCTTAGCCGTCACTGCTGTCTACTGGATTTTTCCAGCCGTTAGCGCCGTAACCACAACGATACACGTATGATGTTCGAAGTTTCACCAAAAGACCAGGTTCTTTCGGTTGAAGGAGCACAAGAATTTATAAGCGTTCAAGAAGTAATTATTTCATTCTTTGTAGTATTGTAGCAAAAATGTAAATGATTTGTAGAATTGCCAACACAGAATTGGGAGTTGAAGAGATTTTTATTACCTAAGATATTGGAATTCATAGGATGACATTCTGAAATCATACCCGATGTTTGTCATTCAGTTCGTTTCTTATTGCATTGAGATTTTTAATATAATATAATATAATTGGTAAAAATTCACATATTTTGCAATAATATCATCTAGAGTAAAAAGATTTATGTGTATAGGCATATATGGATTTTGCAACAATAAGGAAATCAAATATAAATAAAACAGCTAAAAATGGATGGAGGATGACAATCCCAACGTTAAATTGTGAAGGACGAAGATTTGACGTGATTGCTGATTTAGCAGAAAAGTTTGGTTTACAAAAGAAGAATGGGCTAGTCAATATTTTTGAGAATTAAATGTATAGAAATGTGATGTTTTGTAATAAAATAAATAAAATCGTGTCTTTCTATTTCAACAAACTCATTTGAGTGGTTCCAAGTTCTACAAGAAAGTTCAACCTAAACAGTCACTAACATATGTGGGATCACCCAGGATCTGCAGTAATAAATTGAAATTTCGTTCTCGAGTTAACAACACTAGTAGGCCTCGATAACATTATCAGCACCTAGTATTTATGCCTGATGATGTACGAGAACCTGGAGCAGTAGAAGAAACGAGGTGTTTTTTTTAGTTAGTAAGAGTTCACAATCTCTCTCCCAACCCAAGAAAGGAAAAGTCTTTGGACGGATGTTTGATGGATGGATTTTGTACCTTCAAAAGTCGGATAGCTATTTTATAGGTACAGAAAATTGCAGTGTTAATGTGGAGTACTAATTAGTAGGGTTAAGCAGAAAATTTGTTTCAGTAGATATTCTAACCCGTAGGCGGAAAATTCATCTGATGGAAAGTCGACATTTGAAATACTCGGTATATAAGGTTAAGAATTTCAAGAAAAAATATTGTTTCACAAAGAAAATCATCAAATGTTCCTTCTCCTGCTCTAGGCCGAGGCCGCGCTTTCGGTTGCCGGAGATCGTCTCTTGATCCTCGTCACCCAGACGTTCGCCCACTGCGGCGGCTGGGGCGTGAGGAGGATAGTTCTGTCATGCGCTCACAGATTCACTAATTTTTATTTTCCTAAATATTCAACATATATTTTTAACGTCCCCACTATTTTATTATTATAATTATATCATGTTCATTTTTATGTATATTACACATTGATAGGAAAATTATATCGCATGCTTTTATGAACTATTTTACCTCAGATACTGGATATCCTCCTGCTTCAATTAATAGGAAATTAACATCTTCATTTTCTGAGAGTCTGCTAGCTACAACTGATCCTGCTGATCCACCGCCCACAACGATGAAATCAAAAGAATCCCCGTCTGTATATAATAAATAAATATTACAAAACTGCTTCTTGGCATTCATTACTTTACTCTAACAATGTATCTTACTAATCTTACTACTATTATAAATGCGAAATGTACTCCGGAATAGGACATAGGCTACTTTTTATGTGGGGGAAGCGGCTGGCGTAAGTTGCTGTCAAAATAATAGTTCAATGATGAAAATAATACTGTAGTGTTCTAATTGTTTTGCACACAGTCAAGAGCTTAGAAAACTTAGAAAAATAATAACCTTGAAACGAACACTGAGGTGGAAATCGCCAAGCAGTTGGTGTAATAGTTTGTAACAACTGCAGTGCAATCTGCATCGACTGGATCGTAGATATGGCTGCAACCCCGTCCGCCATAATGTAAACACCTTAAAATATTTTAATAATTTGTTTAACTTTTGAAACTTGAATAAAATGATTTTAAAAGGTTACGGTTCTCTCACATTGTGTTATTTTTACATTGTCTGGACTTGAAAAGGAACTGAGTTTTTTTTAACCTCTGAGTTTGTTTCGGCATTTCTTCTCAGAGTAGTCAGATAGAAAATGCCGGCTTCATCTAGTTTTTCACATATAAATTGACGTGTAAAAGTGCCGTTTTATGGCCTATTTGCAAAAATAAATTCATTGTTTCATTGTTTCAAAGTGTACAATAAAATTCGAGAGTTGTGAAGATCTCTGACATAATTATCTTTTTCTAGATACAGGGAAACTCCTTAACATGTAGAAGGCTCCATAGTTCAGTATTTTACTGTTAGATCTACAATGAATAACGGTTTATAAGTTGTAATGTTATAAGTTTGGATTTCTCGATATTTAAAAAGCAGTGTGTAGGGAACTGAAGATTATGCTCAACGGTATTGGAAAAGTTAATAATTATATGCATTGTCCATCAAAATGTTTAGTCTATACTAATATTATAAAGAGGTAAAATTTGAAAATCTGTATGTAGGGGTAATCTTTGGAACCGCTGGTTGGATTTACAAAATTCTTTCGCTGATAGATAGCTTCAATGTTCCTGAGTGCCAAGCTGTAAAACATCACGCTAAAATTAAGCCGAGCAGCGGGTGAAACCGCGCGAGAGTAGCTAGTCTTTAATAAACTAATTGTATATCATTTAATTTTGTTGACTAGTTAAAATATTATGAACAAAGAAATTATTAATTAAAATAGAAAAATAAATAAAAACAATGTTCTTTTTTACCTCAACTTTTCGAATTTTTTTTGAATTTTCCCCTTTTATACCATTTTTTATCAAGACTGGCAACGTGGTGAGGAGAGATGGCCAATTTAATATCATGTTGCAATTTTTTAATTAATACTATTTCTTTTCTTATTGGAAATCAATTGTAATTCACACTATTCATCATAAATTGTCTAATAAACAAGTCCAAGGACTTCTGCAGCCCGGGATAGGGCGTGACTCTTTCTGGCTCTTACTGACTAAAACCATCCTGATCCTTATCCTGCTCCAAGCCAATACCTCGTTCATTATTGCTACATACCACCACAAATACGGCACAAAATGTTGGGTACGGTGGTCTGTTGGCTCTTTGATGCGTACACGGAATCCTACGTGCTATTTGTTTGGATCTGATTCTCATCCGGAGGTAAACTACCCTGACTTTCCGTCTTCAAATCCGCCTTTACAGTGGCCGGAGATCATCGAGCGATCCCCGACGCCTAGAGTGTGTCTTACAGCCGCGGCTGGGGAATGAAAGAGGAGACGCGTCTTCCCAGTTTTTAACACTCCGCACCATTGTCCCACTAAGGACGCGAGAGGTTGCCAGCGCTGATCACTTCTCAAAGAACAGACCGGCTTTCAGCTCAATCTGTGTATACCGCCGACATGTACGCTCCACCATATTTTCCGGGTGGTCCTCAAAATGATAACATTTGGGAATTTTAGAAAAACAGAGTTAAAAGTCTTACTAATCTCTCATTACACTCATATAATTCCTTTGTTATGTATAACTAGCTTTTGCCCGCGACTTTGTTCGCGTGGAATAGTGACGTCCTGCAAATTTTTGATTTAAAAACTATCCTATATCCTTCCTCGAGTTCCAAACTATGTCTGCACCAAATTTCACATTAATAGGTTCAGTAGTTTACAGACAGATATAGTTACTTTCGAATTTCTAATATTAGTTTAGATTATTATCACCAGGTGTTTTAAAGAGATTATGATCAACTATGGACCGTGATACGCTGTGGAAAAGATTTACAGTTTTACCACAGTCAGGTCAGATAATAGCAGACCCCATTCTCCGATGTTTATTAGCTTAACTCGACAAATTAGGTTTATGTTCAATTTTTAAAATAACTGTCCTTTTATTTACTATCTGTATCGTTACTATTTAAGAAATAATATTTAGTATAGTAGTTTTGACAATATATTTATAGTAAACAAAATAATTCCAATGCGTTCTGAAATTTAAAAAAATAGCTTTTTTACTGTCCTTTTTTTAGCGGATCACTCACTAGCCAGTGAGTTAGTGAGACATTATTGCCACCTAAGGCTTGAACTATGGAAAAATATTTGTCAGAGTGCGTTGTCTACACACCTAGTAAACTCTTCTTGGTCAATTATCTTCTAAATTTCCAAAATGTCGTGTTTAGAAAAAACCTGTGTCAGGCTCTCTGGCCACGCGACAAGTGCCTCGCATGAGGCACGATCGGAAATGGAAAATGACCATGGTTAAAAAGTATTATTCAACATTTTATTTATTTAGCTGTGCATTAAATATGACATATTTTTTAATGAATAATATCAATATTAGCTAATTTTCAAGTCCGTTATTGAAAGCATTGAGAAACGTCTAGATGAAAAAAAATGTTAAAATAATATATAATTATTCAATGTAAATACAAAATTTTCCTTATATTGACATATTTTATAAATAAACTTTATTAAAAAGACTATACGCACAGTTGGAACTTGCACTTTCGGGGAGAATAGGCAAAATCAGGCTACTAATATGAAAGAAAATTAAGGAAACATATTTACGACGGAAATACTTAGCGACCTTTTACAATAAAAAGGTTATAACGTAATGAATAGTTGACAATGTGCTTCTCATTTTGGCTTAAGCGGTGCACCCTTAAATTAGATCGGAGGCCCAATCCTTCCCTTCCGAAATCCCTAAATCTTCAAATCCCTAATCCCCTAGATAAATTGCTAGGGTTAGACTCTTGGGTCTGCGGTCGGTGAGTAAGGGCAGCTCGCCGCCCGACCAGAACCAGGCCCGAGCGTACGGCGCGTAGCGTTCCGCGGGCGCCTCTATGAGTCAATAGACCACCACAGACGGGGCCCTATAGGGCTGATGTTTAGCCGGGGTTGCGGGGTAAGCGCAATGAGGCATCGAGACCTCGGCCCAGAGCAGGAGAAGGAACAGGGGGGTTTTTAGTCAGTAAGAGTCTGACACTCCCTCCCGCCCGCCCGTCCAGGGCGGAAGAAGTAATTTGAAGATTTTCCCCTCGCAAAAAAAGGGTCAGACTCTTACTGACTACAAACCATGCCGTTCCTTCTCCTGCTTCAGGCTGGGTCCGCGGCACATATTGTGCTTGACCCGCAACTCCGGCTGAACATTCCTCATGGTTAGATTCAAGTTATAATAAATTACTTTAATAGACACTAACCTATTATGAACGAATATTTGGCGTGGAAAAGCTAACATATTTAATATTGTTGTCCAATTTTACCACTTCTCCTCCTTAATATTATTCAAATCAAGGACTAAAATTTGGTATAAAAAGAAAGCTAAACTGAACAGAAACTATCTTAACAACGGATTCAGCGGTGGTACAACGGAAGTTGGGTAAGTTAACATATTTTCTTTTTCTATATATTCCTATGACATTGTAATAATCATGATTTTTATTTTATTAAAAATAAAGTCGATTTTTTTTTATTTAATAATAAATTTTGACTGATGTTTTCCTTCAGTCGTGGTTGTCAGTGAGGGTTCAAACCTGTCAAGTACCAGTGTGAACTTTTCTAGGTCATGTGTACTCTCTGACGTTATTTAAAAACCACTAACAAACGATGAAGGAAAACAGCGTGACGAAACCTGGACTTGTAATTTCTTATTACATTTCAAATCACTAATCCGCGTAGAGCAAATGTGGTGACTAATGCTCAAACCTTCTCCATTTGAGGAGAGGCTTCTGCTTAGCAGTGGGAACTTATAGAATGATAAAATTAAGGGTGTTTGTTCAAATTACTCGTTACGTTTTAATCAATCGAATAAATAAGTCTATATCATCTATTAAAAAAAATTAATCGTAAATAAATTTAAACATATATATTATTAAAAAATACCACTTAACATAGAAAATAACTTCTACATCATCAACCTGTCGCATTTTCTTTGCTGGACATTGCCTTTACAACAAAGTATAATATTTTTTAATAAAATGTTTAGGTAAAAAGGATTCACAATGGCGGACGCGGCTGCAGCCATATCCACGATCCAGTCGATGCAGATTGCACTGCAACTGTTGCAGACTATTACACCAACTGCCTGGCAGTATCCGCATCAATGTGCCATACAAGGTAAAGTTAATCACCAAAAAGTCGCTATCCCACGGGGCGTTTTACTATCATTGACGTAACGTCGTGTTTGCTCAGCGTCGACGTCGCCCTGACGCGACGTTAACGCCGCATCGTCGTGCGGCAAGCTGTAACGTTCGCTGAACGCAATTTTTTCTATATTATTATATTTTTCCATATTTCCTATACTTTTCTTAATTTTTCATAAGTTTGTAAGCACCAGCCCGCCTTGAACAGGCATGGTGATTAATGCACGTTAATTGTCTATGGAAGATGACGCTTTTTCTCAGTACTGCTATTTTACGGCTAAATATTTTTTGACTTTGCCAATAATCGCCCTTTCATTTATTGATTTTACGATACTCAATATTCATATTTTTACAGACGGAGACTCTTTTGACTTTATCGTTGTGGGCGGTGGATCGGCAGGATCAGTTGTAGCCAGCAGACTCTCAGAAAACGAAGATGTTAATGTACTATTAATTGAAGCAGGAGGATATGCACCACTTGAGTCTGATGTAAGAGTTCTATTATTTTTTAATCCCTTTGTCGCATTTTGTCTTCTCAAAACGATTTTCATCTACTAGAAATAGCCTAAAATCTCTTTATCGAGAATTATATTAGTTATTTCATTTATATATTTAACTGTGTTACAATTTTATGAGATTAGAAACTTAAGCCTCTTTTACAATTTTTCCAGTATCCTGCTTGGTTCACGTTACTGGCGCGGTCGGTTTACGACTATAACATAACGTCTACAGATGATGGCAAAACAGCGCAAAATCTTCAAGGAAAGGTCGTCACCCTCAACCAAGGTAAGATGCTGGGAGGCAGCAGCTCACTCCACCACATGATGCACACGAACGGTGATCCTGAAGACTACAACGAATGGGCAAGGATGTTAAATGATAACAAATGGTCCTTCAAATACGCCCAAAAATATTTAAAGAAAATGGAAACACTTATTGATCAGGATCTTCTTGAACCAGAAGATATTCAGTGGCACGGCACAGATGGACCTTTAAAAGTCGCTAAAGATACACGCAAGACCAATGAAAAATACTTAAAAGCTTTCGAAGAACTTGGACACAAGATTGTATCTGATATAAACGCAGTCAGCCCAGCTGTCGGGTACACTGAGAACTTATTTGAAATTGCTGATGGATTCCGGCAATGCAGTGCATTAGGCTATTTGGGCAGAGCCAAAAAACGCTCCAATCTATGCCTGGCTTTATCCACTTCCATCACAAAGATCCTTATTGAAGATCAAAAAGCTGTAGGAGTACAAGCGACAACAGCTGACGGTGAGACGTATAAAGTGTATGCGGAAAAAGAAGTCATTGTATCAGCTGGTGCAATCAACAGCCCCAAATTACTAATGTTGTCTGGAATCGGACCAAAAGAGCATCTTGAATCCTTTGGCATCGACGTTGTTGCTGACTTGCCAGTTGGACAAAATTTACAAGACCATGCCTGCGCAGCAATAGTTGTTAAAACGGATAAATGTGATGATACCACGCCAGCTGCTAATCCACACCAATTCCCAGCACCATCTTTCAATGGTTATGTCTCACTAGACAATTCAACTGCAACTGCTGATTACGACACGATTAACTTAGAATTCTCATGTGGTTCAAGCGACATTTTACAATTAAGTGTCAATATGTTCAGTTACTCTTACGATGTCTCTCAGACTATATTTGAAGCCACGAAAGACAGGAAGGTTATTTTTACTTTATTAGGTCTGGTAATGCCAAAATCTCGTGGACAAGTTTTCTTAGCGAGCACAGACCCTACAGTGAATCCCCAAGTATACACAGGCATGTTTAGCAATGAAGATGATATCGATTTGATTGCTAGAGCATTTATGGATCATATAAGAGTTCTGAATACCACATATTTCAAGAGCGTTGGTGCAAGTTTGGTTGATATGGGAGTGTGCAAGGATGCACAAACTGAGTATGAGTTCTGGAGATGTTATGCTGTAGCTATGTCTGCCACTATGTGGCACTACGCTGGTACTTGCGCTATGGGGAATGTACTGGACAGTGATTTGAATGTTTTAGGAGTAGATTCTTTGCGTGTAGTGGATGCATCTTCCATGCCTACTCTTATCAGAGGCAAATTGTATGCGGGAGTCATGATGCTAGCTGAGTATGGGGCTGATATCATCCGCAATGACTGGGGTATTTAAATTATTATTGATGACGATACTTATTTTGAGAGATATTTTTGTCATCAAATTCAAACACTTGGCCGGTCCTACTTTTTATGTTATTTGAGCCAATATCTACTGTTAGATAACCATTAATAAAGTATTGTTGATGTAAATTATGTGTGTTGAGTTTTTCTGTAATTTCTAATTTCTAATAAAAGAAGTCTATTTGATAACATTTACTAACTTTGTGTATTTATATTTTTGACACCTACTTCACATTTATCAAACTCGTCAATTTTAAATAAACCCAATAAGAGATATCCTGAATTGAAATGTAGCACAACCACAACTAAACATAGCACATTTTCTTTCCTCTTACAAATTCAACAACATTTTGATCAACGCAAACTGACTTGTCGACTGCGAGGACGTGGCGGTGAATGGGCATTCTGACAGCCACTAATCCATTAGACACACCACTATATAAATGGAACAGCATCTTAATCCCTTAGAGGTACATTCATCGTAGTAGAAACCCAATTTAATCTGAGCTAGCAAGTGCGTCTTCAAGGCGGCCCAAAGGAAACGCTTTCCTTGCGTCTTAAAACTAAATTTACCTAAATTCCTATTTCGTGTAAACGATTTGTATGTATATTAATTATATAAGCTTTCTAATATTATCTTGCTACTGCAGTAGTTTTATGATGATTTATGCTATTTGAGCTGTCGCTTTTATCACAGAAACAAAATCTCAAGTCGAGCTTCGGTACAACTGAGAGTTACCATCAGAAAAAATCCAATGATTGCCCACTCAATCTCATCTATACTATCTATACTAATATTATAAAGAGTTAAAATTTGTAAGTTTGTATGTTTGTAAGTTTGTGGTAATCTTTGGAACCGCTGGTCAAAATTCTTTATAGATAGCAACAATGTTCCTGAGTGCTATATAGGCTAGGTATAAAACATCACGTTACGATTAAATAGAGAAACTAGCTAGTAAAAAAAAATTTGCAAATTTTACAATTAATAAAAATACAAAACGCCTACCAATTTCTTCATTTCGCGATAATAATTTAGGAAATGTTCATGTTGATATCTTACAGTTTCAGTATATCTACACATTGCATCAAGTTTTAAACAAGGCGTTCATAAAGTATTACATGCTTGACTTGTTACAGAAAATTCAGCCTTATTGGTTTACATTCAAAGTCGATGTTTTTAATGACTATGAGAAAGGCAGTTTTACATCAATGTAAAAGTGTAGGTACTAATAAAGCTTTTATTTACAATCCTCATATACTTTAATACCAAACCCCACCACAGAAAACTACGATATCCTCAAATCTAAATAAAAATATATGATAATAACGATAAGATCCATATGACTGCAAGCAAACTACAAGCTACATATGTCAAATGATATGCGGGGTTGACAGCGCCTCCTCCATGATGAACCAGGCTAACACCAGGTTTCTGAAAGGCTTGTCAACGCTAAAATTTACTAATCTCCTGTTAAATCTCTTGTCAAGTCATCTGATTGGTTGTTGATAATTCAGTCAACCAATCAGATGACTTGACAAGAGATTAAATTGATTTTAACATTGATCGGCCTTTCTGAAACCGCGTGTAAGTGTTAGACACCATCTTTCTCCAAACTTTTTCGTTGATGACATACTGAAAGGTCGATTTTCTGAAGAGGTCTTCAGTCAAAAGTCAAAAGTCAAAAATCATTTATTTCAATTAGACCACAGTAGGCACTTTTGAACGTCAAGCAAGCAAAAAAGGAAAAAAGTATATAAAAAGAGCTTTAAAACTAAGCGTGTCAGTCTGTCCGTCTGTCCTCTAGTGAAGCTATTTGCTCGTTCCAAAGTGTAGATTCCTATGGAGAAGAACGAGCAAGAAACTCCATGGTTACTCTTTTATCATCAGTTTTACAATACATTTCTTTGTTACATCATTTAGTCGGTTCTGATATGTGAGAACAATGTAACACTAATGAATTCAGAAATTATTACTTGTTATTATGACGTTCAACAGTAGCCTTATAACACTAAACCAATGTTGTAATTAAGTATTTGTACAAGTGATTAAAAAACTGGATAATAATGTTTATTTACATTTCTTTTTAACTAACATGATGAATCTTTAATTTAACCTTTTGTATTGTATGTTTGTTTAAACTTTTATAACGACAAAATTTCTTAACAAATCTTGACGAAATTATGTACAGTGATAGATAAAGACTTAAGACGATTTTAATCTAAAAACTTTTATTTTGCAATAATCGCTTTGATTTTAACTTATCTAAATATATGTATAATAAACTAGATTTAGCCCGTGACTTTGTTCGGGTGGAATAGTGACTTCCTGCAGATTTTTGGTTTAAAATCAATCCTATGTCCTTTCTCGAGTTCCAAACTATGTCTGTACCAAATTTCACACAAATAGGTTCAGTATTTTAGGCGTGACGAAAAGACAGACAGACAGACAGAGTTACTTTCGCATTTATAATATTATTTTGAATTTTACTATAACGACTACCCATGCCCCCGAAAACCATGGATGGCGGTGGCGTAAACAATTTTTGCTTTGTGATGATGCGATAAAACCAATCGGACAGATCACGATGTTAGATCGTAAGCAATCGGCACCTCCCATGGACGGTTGAAACACCAGAGGAATTATAAGGTGGTTGACAGTCTTTTGTCAGTTTGTGAATGAAAAAGACGAAGATTTTGGGACTCTGTGAACCTCACATTGTGGCTTCTCAACAATCGTGGTATCTCTCTGATCGAGCCAGCCAATTCAGGCTGAAGCAGGCTCTTTCATACTTATATAACACCAGTGGAGTCACAGGCGCGTTTTCGTCCTTTTAAAAGGAGTATGCTTGTTTCTTGAAGGTTTTGAAGGTCGTATCGGTCTACTAATTATAATCACCACATAATATAAAAAAGTGGCTTCGTCTGTCCCTATTGTATATTTAAATGTTTAAAGCTATGCAACGGATTTTGAGTCGGTTTTTAATAGAGGTCTATAAGTACAATAGCATTCATTTAATAGTGTAGAAATTTCGTATCAGCATTGAAATTGTGGGAAAATGGGTATATCGATAGTATTTATTAAAATGTTCGTCAACTTAAGTGGCACCGCGTGGAAAAACTATTTTACACACATAAAATGGTATTATTATTTGACGTACAGACGCCATTTTGTTATGTTAACACAATGACTTAACTTTATTATTTCAATGCTATAATTGTTATATTCAGCAATTGTGTAAATAAGAGGAGAGGAGGCACACTTATTTTGCAAAAAATAAATGATATTTTTCTGCTTAACGTCACGATTTTGACTAGATAGTATTAAGAGAAAATTCTTTTTTATGTGCTGTTTCGGCAATCGAGCAGCGCCCATGGACACCCGCAACATCTGAGGAGTGCGTTGCCGACCTTTTTGGAATTACGGTTTCGTAGAATTCGAAATTTTCTTCAGGTAAATGCGTGACAAAATATGTTTTTATTGAAAAATGTTTTTGATTATTTTTTTCTTTTTTCTTTGGAACGACAAACAGTAAGACACATTTTTAAAAACAAAAGAAGTCGTATAGTGTCCACCGCAGCCACACATACCCTTTTTAATCAATATTTTATACATGGTGTTGTTCTGTTTTATATTTTTTGTTTTGGAGTTGTATAAAAATAACCTTTCTGTTTAAACAGAAAGTCAGAACGCTCCCCTAATCCCTCAAATCATAAACCCTAATCCCCAAAAAGCCAGCAATGCACTGGTTATTCAACTGGTGTTACTGTATTACTGGGGCCATAGGAGGCGCCGATTGCTAAATCAGAAGATCCATCAGTTCATATTTATCATCCTATCGTATAGAACAATCGCTCACAGACATTAAAAAACAATTTGTTCTAGACTTTGAACTTCCACGTATTTTGAAAAATCCTATATAGCAGTATTGGTGCGGTAATTACTCTATTACTAATTGTTAAAATAGTTTTTTTTAAGAGTTACGATTGCGTTGGTCTTTCTTCTTCATACGAATCTATATAGATACGTCCATGTGGACCGAGCACCTAACTTTACTGACGGACAGACTGACAGACGATTTAAATTAGAAATTTAAAAAAAGTATTTTTGTGTTCTCAGTGGATAATTTAGTTTCAAACAATATTGAAATATTTTTTTATTTTATCAACTCAAACGACCAAAACGGCACCTTTCCTCATTATATTATTAATAAACTTTGTCTTGGTTATTGAACATATTTATTAATCTTGGCTAAAATTCGTAACCAAAATCATACGACTAATGAAACACGCTGTATGTAAAGAAGGTAATATATACAAGTCAAAGTAAATATAACGGTAAAATATGTAGTATATAACGTACAAAAAGAACAGTTATATTTGCCAGTTGGAATATTAAATACTTTTTGGAACTACATCATTGTGAGACGCTTTCTGAAGACATTTCTTCATTAATTGTGGAGGCTATGAAGGATAGCCATCCATCAAGTTGTGCAGGCGAAAATAGGTAAGTGTTTGTTTATAGTGATCTATAAGGCCGTGGTTTCAATTAGGATGAGTCAGCCCATTCGTAAAGCCTGACTCTCTTATTATTTCCTCTCTTTCTTCCTAGACTGAATATCGATGTTTTTATTATAACTTTCGTTAGACATCAAGTGTGGAAGAGCCATGCTTCGGCGCGAATAGGTCGGCTCGGCCGGAGTGATACCACGGCCTCACAGAAAACCGGCGTGAAACAACCACAGCGTTGTGTTTAGCCGTGTGAGTGAGGTTACCGAAGGCCCAATCCCTCCCAAACCCACCGCAATCCCAGATCTCCAAATCTCTAATCCCTAAAAGGTCGGCAACGCACTCGTAACTCCTTCGTTGCGGGTGTCCATGGACGGCGCTGATTGCTTACCATCAGGTAATCCGCCTGCTAGATTGCCGATGTATTACATAAAAAAGAAAACATACTAAATTAATTATTATGCTTTCGGTTTACTCACGTAATTGTTTGACGAGATACTCGTGAAGTCGTGATGATTAGCAGCGCTACAGTCGCTGCGTCGCGTGTCGCGAAATGTAGCTCATGAATATGGGCCTCTAGCAGGGCTTGAAACTAGTCGAAGTTTTAAATGTACGAAGTGTGAAATGAGTGGTATAAGATATCAGTTTTTATGTGATATGTCGGCAAATAAGCAAACGGACTGTTAGTTTGATGGTAGACAATTGGCGCGCCC